ATATATATATATATATATATATATATATATATTCATGTGCACCTGAGCAGCTACACACATACACAAACATACAAATATATATATGAATATATTTGAATAATCTATATACATTATATATATATAACATTATATATAACCTACATAATATATATATATATATATGTATATCTTTGCGCGTGTTTTTGTTTGTGTGTGTGTGTTTTGTGTTGATTAGAATGTGATGAACGGCATAATAAGCAGCAAACTGCAAGATTCTTCTTTGATTAGTTTGAGGGGTTCGAAGGAAAATATATACAGACGTTTATTATTGGGTTTTTTACGTCTTCGGCAGTTGCGGTGTACGTGCAGGTGGGGAGACATTGTACGTCAGTGCATTTTATTGCTTGATATTTATATTGATTTATATGTTGAGACACCTGCATCTAACTGCGCTTGGCTTGTATTAGGATTAGCTATCCTGTGCACAGCTATGAATAAAGCAGCATTAGCAGCAGATCATAGTGCGGGTGAGGCACCAGAATTATTAGAAGAAGCAGATACAGGTGCAGCAGAAGCTGATGAAAGTCAGGGGAAATATACTAAACAAATACTTAATGCTATTAGACCTAAACTAGGAAAGGTTCGAGGTGAAGAAGGTAGACACGGGGCTTATGTTGTTCTCCTCGGACAAAGCATTAAGCGCTGTCTTCAACTTGGAAATATGCAAATGGCCGCCGGCTTTCTTAAACTCTGCGACTCAAGGTATGTACAAAAAACCCCACATGCATGCATGCATGCATGCGTGCATGCATGCGTGTATGCATGCGTGTATGCATGCGTGTATGCATGCATGTATGCATGCTTGTAGGTTTAGGGTGTACACGCATCTCTGCATCCATGCATGCATGCACGTGTATTTGGGGTGTATACCCATCTGCATGCATGCATGCATGTATATGTATGCATATACCTGTGCATGCATGCATCCAAGCATGCATGCTTCAGTATTTGCTGCTACGCATGCAAACACGAGGCAGCAGCAGACAGCACATTTCTTTTTGTTTGTTTTTTATTATTTTTCTGTCTCTTTTATTCAACAACAAACAAGTAATGAGAGCCACCCTCTGTTTTTTTTGTTTCTTTTGTTGTTATTTTCTTCATCGTTGTGCTTGCGGTTGTTTGTTTTCCTTTCTTTGCATTTGTTTGTTTGTTTTATTTTCATTGTTTATTATATGTATGTGTATATAGATTATGCATGCGTTTATCTCTATTTAGTCTTTTCGTTTGCTTTTTTCTTCTTCTTATTTGCATGCAAACACCAGACAAATAAACTTCAGTCATGCGCCCCGAGGCCCCATGGTAAATTTTCGTTATTACCTCGGCCGGCTGTACATGCAGCAGGAACAGTTTGAACAGGTGCGTAATGGTGGCTCTTCAGGTGTATAGGCACCTTCTTTAAACTCTTCAGGTGTATGGGCACCTCCTTTAAGCTCTTCAGGTGTATAGGCGCCTCAGTTATGCTCTTCAGGTGTATAGGCACCTCAGTTATGCTCTCCAGGTGTATAGGCACCTCAGTTATGCTCTTCAGGTGTATAGGCACTTCAGTTGGGGCTTTTAGTTTTATATTTTTGGGGTGTATAGGCACCTCGATGTGCATGCATTTTCATGAGGTTAACTGCGGTGTATCTGCATTTTTTCAAGTGTTTTTTCTTTTTATTTTCTCTGCAGTTTTATTCTTTTTGTTTTTCTTTTCTTCGTTTTGTTGCTGCAGTCTGAGGCAGAGTTGGTTTGGGCCTTCTCGAACTGTCCTCCACTGAAAATGAGAGTGAGGCGGTAAGTTTTGCAAGCAAACAAACAAAAAAATAAAACAATAAAATAATAAAATAATAAAAGAGTAGAGGAATAAAAGAGTAAAGGGATAAAAGAATAAAGAAAGATAAATAAATACAAAGAAAGAGACAGACAGAGAGATAGTTGTGTATTAAAACACTAATAACGAAATAATAATATTAATACTGATAACAATAACATCAATCAATGCTCATTATATTATATATATTATATCTAATATGATAAATATTAATTGATATATTCGTATATTTGTATATGCATGCAAATGCTGCCGGTTTGTTGTAGTGTGCGTCTTTCTTGTGTTTGCCTTCCGCATTTGTTTATGCTGTGCATATTTATTTATTTTGTTTGTTTTGTTTTGTTTGTTTTACTGTTTATTTTATTTTATTTGTTTTATTGTTTGTTTTATTTGTTTTACTGTTTGTTTTATTTGTATGATGAATTCGGTGCCTCTGGTGTCTCTGTCTTGTAAGCGCATTATCTTTTTTATTTTTATTAAACGCCTTATTTATTTATTTATTTATTTATTTATTTATTTATTTATTTATTAGGAATATATTAGAATGTCTCGTCGCTGCGCGGCTTCGCTTAGGGAAGCTGCCGAGTGCAGAGTTGCTCAGGAAATATCAGTGGGTTTTACTCTTTTAAATAAATAAATAAACAAATAATTTATTTATTTATTTATTTTATTTATTTTGTTTATTTGTTTATTTAATTTGTTTATTTGTTTATTTCATTTGTTGTTTGTTTGTTTATAATTTATTCTTTTTGATATTTGTTTGTTTGTTTTCGTTGCCGGTCAATTTGCTTTCTTCGTTTTACCTAACCTTTATAAATAAATAAATAATATATATATATGTATATGTTTATATATATATATATATATATATATATGTTTATATATATGTATATATGTTTATATATATATATATAAGCATATATAAACATGTATTTATATTCTCACCTGCATAAATAAATAAATAAGTGCATGTAAATGATGTAAATATTAAATATATTACATAACCTACATATGTATATATATAATATATATATGTATATATATATATATATATGTATATATTATATGTATATAATATTATATATACCGTAGTAGTATTATATTTATTGTTATATAATGTAGGCATTACATATTATATTAATAATATATATTATATATATATAAATATATATGTATATATATAATAATTTGAATGTATGTACGTATGCCTATGGGTGCCCGGTTGAGTAGAGGGTAGATGACGCTGTCTGTACACCTGAATAACTTGCATTAATGATAATATATATTTGTTTTATTTTATTTAATTGAATTCTTTTTCGTTGTTTTCTCTGCATGCATTTACGCAGGATGACGCATTATTTAGATATTATTGCAGCAATTAAGAGCGGCAATTTGTCTCTGTTTGAAAAGGCCTTGGTGCGCTCATCTCTTTATTTTATTTTATCTTTCTTCTTTATTTCTTTTTATCTCTTGCTGCTGCTGCTGCTATTGCTGCTGCTGTTGCTTTTGCTGCTGCTGCTGCTGTTGCTTTTGCTGCTGCTGGTATTGCTGTTGCTGCTACTATTGCTGCTGCTAGTATTGCTGCTGCTGCTATTGCTGCTGCTACTACTGCTGCTGCTGATATTGCTGCTGTTGCTGCCACGCTACTATTGCTGCTGCAAGTATTGCTGCTGCTGCTATTGCTGCTGCTGCTGTTTGCATGCGTGGATGTGTATATAGGAGCAGCACGAAGGGATATTAATAAAGCACGGCACCATACTTTGCGTAGAAAGAGTGAAGAGCATTGTCTTCAGAACCTTAATGAAAAGAGTGTAAGCAAAT